AATCAAATTTCTCTTTAGCTTTAATGNTTCGCTGCCAAACAGGCTAGTCATCCTGTAACCCTTTTCCAATGCTCTCCTTGGTTACTAATGTTCTGATTGCCGTTTCACTTGAAAAAGGATGGCGGTCGCATAATAAAAGTGTACGGCTGAAGAATAAACGAAAACCGAATGAACGTCACTGAGGCTATTAAGTTGAAGTTATTGAATGGTCGTATCGATCAACGGTGATCAAAATTAGTTTGGATTCTATCCATCATTGGGATAAATGTATATTTCACAAGGCTATAAGCTTTAGAGTTTCAGGCTGAACAGCCCCATAACTACAGAGTTTACTATTATACATAACTTTTTAGAGGTTCTTCGATTTGAAGAAAGCAGTTCCATCAATTTTTGATACTCTCCGATAGATACCACTGGACAGGGTTCTTGGTCAAAAATCCTGGTAGCGATTGATTTCGAAGTAGCATTTCATGGTAAAAACCGAATAATGCTTGCTGCAATAGATGCTCATAATTACCGACTTTTGTTTTATATAAATATTCGGAGTATATGGTGGTAGAACTGGGCTTTCCCAACGCTTACATCCCATGCAATTCAGTTGTGATCTCGACTGATCACTGATCTCTTCTTGTTGATTCAAAGGAAAACAGGCGTGGGAGGATGACATGAGGGAGGCATCCGTACATATAAAAGGCAATATCTCAGATTATTTATACATCTCGGCTTAGAGCATCCCGAAGATATCCCACGATGATTGCGAGCACTTTCCTGATTGATGTCCCTCATGCACTAGCAGTATAACTATTAATAGTATTGTTTAGAGTAACTCCGTTACTGTTCTAGTCCAGCGAAAGTTTGCTGAGGTTTTTTTAAAGACTTCACAATAAAGAGAGGGAGCTCTGTCAGCTTCCAAAAGAAAAACTCTCATATTCGGAGAACTTAGCTTCGCCTTACCAGTTATTAGTTTTATTTTTGATCTAGTCCCACTATACTGATTTGTACAGGTTGTGAAGGGTCCCGAAAAGAAAGCTCTCGGTATCTTCTCAGTGTGTTGATGAATCGCATCCCTCGACTCAGTTTATCTGATTAGCACCTTTTCGAGGCCCACTCTTCTCCGGGCAAGAACAAAATAACGACCAGTTTCTAAAAAGCCTTTCTGAGTTCCCCAACCTCAATTCATCCTCACATCACTCTGCAGAAAGAAAGTGCTAAATTTAGAAGTTCGAGTGTCTACAAGTTGACGATCAAAATTATTCGTTTTAATTAATTAGGGGACTTGATAGATAGTTGAGTCAAACATTCCGTGGCAACGATGAAAAGATGATGGCCCTCGTTCCATAGCCATTCTGTCTGAGCATTGCTTTCAACAGCTCTCTTTGTCTAGGGATATTTTGACGCCCGATGTACTCCACAGCCAACAATGTTACCTTCTAAAGAATGTGTTTTAATTCGTCTATAATTACCCCCAACCTCCATTGTGTAGTTGTGAAGCTCATTCATCTGAATAGCCCTATACAAGGCAGTTACACTGGGGTAAGCTATGATCTTTTGGGTATTGACGAGAGTGAAGGAGAAGAGGGGGGTACTTCATCGAATGGCGTCATATAGTCGAAAGCGTCCACCACCACTACCACCAGTTCGAAGAAGGAGGCGGGCAATGAATTATATCCACTTCGGGGCCTTCCCGTTTCTCATCGTCCATGTTTTGGACGATATCTATGCTCATGTCAAATCCACGGAAATGAAATTGTTTGTCGTCACTGTCGGAATGTTCTACATGAATGTCTCGACGGCATTTCACCCTGTCTGCCCCCAAATACAAATATGGCTCGCCCTGAATCGTCTGCGTCGGCGTTGTCGTTATCGTCGCCTTCAGAAGTGACGACTACGACGACGACGACGACTGCAAATAAACGCCTTGTCACCTAATTGCAATTTAAGCTCTGTTTTACTGCTCACATACTTTGGCAGATAGTGTCACGGAAAAAGCCACTCAAACTGTCACTTGTCCATCCGGCCACCCGCCGTTATTGCGCGTTACGCCCTCCGCTACGGTAATGTCAGCCGTTGCTACTGGACACTTAGTGTGTTTCGACTCTTCTGGCATAACCCGTGTGGCGTGTTGAAGCAAGGTGAGATTGAGCCTCCTCAACTGTGCAGGGTAGTCCTCTCATCAGCTCCTCTCATGCCTTGTCTTTTCTTCTTCCTTCACATTCACATTTTCAGATCCCAAAAAACGCCAACAATGAGCTCAATAAGAGCGCTCCAATGCGTGGTCTCACAGATCAAAATTGAAATTAAAATAAATCTAAAATTAACCCGCTCCACTGAAACCCCTTCAGATACTGTAGAGTGCTACACCTTCCCTCAGCACGAAATATGCTCAGTTTCAGATATTCAAAATGAATCCGGTCCTACGAAAACTTTGAATAACCCTCTCTCTGGTGGTGATTCAACTAATCTTTTTGTCCTCTTCTCTTGAAATTTCATTAGGACTAGAGCGGTCGTTTTCGTGCTCAGACGTTACTAGTTTTTCTACGTCACTAGTCCTAAAATTCAACTCATTTTCCAGGGTGTCATGTGGCGGGTGTCAACGGCTTCTCTAATTCTTCTTGCGGCGATAGCTTGCGCGGCCGATGTAGAAGAACAAGGTACTTATTTAATTATTTATGAAATACTAAGTAGTAGTGCAGCTGTACATTGTTGACAAGTCAATAATACAGTTCAAGGTTCAAGTAACTCAACCATCTAAACTTAGAGACATCATCAATTTTATTCACTTGCCCTTTACACATTGCCCACCCGGTTGTATTCCCCAGTGAATGCGCGTTCGCTAGTGAAAATCCGACAAAACATTTCATCCCAGCCTCTGGATTCATAAAGATGTCAATATTTGGCTGAAAGCTCTTCTTTCTGACTTTGGGAGAAGGCTCACATATGAGGGTCATTGTTTCGCCCTTGTAAACACGAACGACCTTCTGAAGATTACTCTTCTTAGTAAAGACGTCACAGAAATGTAGGCGAGGATGCTCAAATCAGATTTCCATCTCAGGAGAACAGAATGAGTTGCACTCACTTACTCAAAATAACTTTGACACACTTGGATGTTGATCATGAGGGTGCTAGGAGGTTTCGAAGTAGCTAGTGGGGATGGGGCTCGGAGAGGGAGTCAAAGAAACTCTCCCAACTCATTTCAGGAATGGCAGGTGCATGCGATCCCCGTATTTTATAGGGCTGTTCGTAGTCTAATGGAATGAAAGAAACACTGAAAAGCTTTTTAGGTTAATCAGATACATGAAAAAAGAGTCCTGTTGGAATGAAATGACTTAGGGCGGACTGATTGATGTACTAGTGCCAATTGACGCCCCTTCTTAACCCTCTCTACCATGTTTTGATGATTTCTATCTGATTTCAGTATACGATATTCCTGATGAGGAATATTCAGAAGCTTTAACATTGTTGGGTATCGGTCCAGAAGCACAACATATCTACGCCAAACGAGGTAATCTCCACAAGACTTTCTTCTCAATTTGCTTTTCCGAGCAATCTTTTCAGCCCTTTGTTGTATATTCTGTTTGGATAGATATTTGAATTTGAAATCGAAAAGTATTCACACAAACAAAGACATACGTCTGAAGGGATAAACAGCCGACAAACAAATCTCCAACCAAAAATTCGATCTGCTCGCTGATTCCGCAGAAACATGATTCACTGTTGGTTAATTCAGTAATCGAAAGAGGAGATACGAAGACTGCTGGAAAAAGCCCGATAGATGAAAATGGTGACTGCGGATGCCTCTTCACGTTTCAGCAATCGCGTCAGTCTATACAAGGATATATCTAAGCTTTGAAAGGATAAGGGTCCACATTATTGATCAACACACTTTAGGAGCGCCACGCATCCGAATTATATTCGGATTCATAAAGAACATGAAAACCATGTTTTGTGTAGAATGCACCTAGAGGCACAGCTTAGGATGAAAATGATATCTGAGTTTCTCTCTTACAAAGAAAATGCGATTTTAAGGGATAGCACATAGGACATGATCAGGTAGAATAAGACAAAGGGCTTTACTGACGTACACACACAAAAATGGGCGCTGACGTCGGCGTTCTGACGCCAATACTATAGATGCGTCCCATGAATGCAATTTTTTTAGACTCACTGTAACCAGCTCTTTACGCAGTTGTACCAACTGGCAAGAGTTCGAATTTCCCTTTAATGGAACTTCTGTCATCATAACCTCATACAATCCCTTTTTGCTGCACATTTGGAACATTATATTCCTACGAAACTTTCGAATTTCGCGCTTTTCGCGCCATTTCTCCGCTTATCCGCACGATTGCTTGTTTTAGTTCACTTGAACTGAGGATTTCGGAATCACCGTGAACCTTGCCTTCCAGAACTGATATCGTAAGTAGTTGAATCCGCTGCAGAAGTCTCCCGTGAATTTCCAAGTGAGAAAAACCCGCCGGAGGAGCTTTCTTAATGCGCACAGACTACGAGCTGCTCTTTTTACTTAGTGCCAGCTGTGAAACACTCTTCATAGCAAAAAAGTTTACGAATGCGCCATGCCTATGACTGTTTTTATGAATCCTCCTGATGTATCACATCGATCCTTCCCCTCTCAGGAGCTTCTGCTTCGATTACTCATCTTATTCTAGGCTCATGACAGTAATTGCTAACGTACACCTATGGCTTACAAATGCTGTTGACATCCAATGGACTTATGACAAATAAAAGCATGAAGATATTCCCGATTCCCAGAAATTTTGGTGGGGTACTCCAGTACCATCCTATGCCCGCTAATTCCATAAATTTTAGTGCCTGTCTGATCAGCAACTTTACCAGTTGGCTCATTCAGCGCTCTTGGGCTCACGACACCATTGGAAGCAAAATGTGCTGGCATTTCATATCCATAGCAGAGCATTGATTGCAGTAACACTTCTTATAAAATCTTTTTCTCTACCGAATGCAAATACTTGAGAGATTCATCATTTGAATTGACTAGACATCTCCAGCCGACTTCAGCAATTGCGTTTACCAGTAAACTCATTCGGGTTCGCCAAGAGCTGGAACACCCAGAGCCACCATCCTTGCATTTCTTCTGCTTGGAACTCAGAAAATTCAGTGGCCCTTAGTTTCGAATAAGCGAACCACGGCCAAATCAAATTCTTTTCGGAAGTATTTCTTGTAACTTGCCTATAAAACCTGTATGGGACCTAGCGAGTTTGCTGGCTTACTTCGAGACCTCATTACTCCCCTAAGGGATCGGATGGTCCAGTTGATTGTTGAAGGGCGGGGGGGNGGGGGGGGGGGGGGGGGGGATCTATCAAGTTCACGTGGGATATGGTTACAAATCAAATAAACCATAACTTAACAAAGAGAAATGAATGGTTAAGGCATGTTTTCTAGAAATAGGCTCATTTGAATGTTGAGCACGAGAGAAATCGTGCACACTACGTCAATAATCGTGCCACGTTTGCCCATTCTTTATAGTTTGCTGTTCATTTTCCAAGCAGACCTATCGTCATCGGTTTCCATGTTAGCGGGGAAAACAATCAATGTCTAAACACAATGTTGAAAAAGCAATTTTTTATATTAGTTGGCTTCCGTCCAAGAATAAACTTTTCTCAGATCTAGATGGCGGTATGCCGGGTGTTCTCCGATTTGGTAAACGTGAAAATGGTGTTGAAAAGAAGGAGGTCCCTGGCGTCCTACGCTTTGGCAAGAGGACCAACAAGAAAAGTATGCCAGGTATCTATAAACCTGAAAACAGAGACTTTTCCACTTGATTGTGCTGTATTTGGTTTACTTGTTTTTGTTTATTTCAGGTGTGCTTCGATTTGGCAAANGTGCTTCGATTTGGCAAAAGAAGTGTACCAGGAGTTCTAAGGTTTGGAAAAAGAGAAATGCCCGGAGTGCTGAGGTAATCAAAAGGCTTTTCAATTGGTGGCAATTGAGGACCATCGACTTTCCATTGAGAAGTTGATAAATAGTTGCACGTATTCTGACGAAAAACTGTTAAATTGCGAATGTGGGGAGTCGATTGGGGTCACCAATGGTTGGGGGATATCCCCCACCCACTTCCTCCTCCCCCCTCCCCAAGCTGGCTAATAGCTTAACTACATGGCATTTGTTGAACGAAAGAAATTGGTACTCATTTTTATGATACAAGAAACGAGATAAGCAACCCTAATGCTGGCAAGAGGAAGATCCTCTCTCACTGAGCATGGCCGGGAATACGTACTATCCTCTAAAAACCCCTACTTTACACGTATCTGCAAGAAATTTCTGCGTAAAATAACCAAATTCACTAGATCGATTAAAAACGAAAACAGAATGATGTTTCGATCTTTCCCTTTGGATGTGAATAGAATATCGTCCCACTTCTCAAGATTTAGGAAAAATATGCTGTTTTTTTTTTTGAATGAAACAGTGGGCGGGAATGTTACATTCATGTTTTTCAAGTAATCCATTTATTTATCGCCTCAGCCCACGTATTGAAGGCGAAGTGACAGCGATTCATTGAGTTTTTTTTCTGCTGAACAAGACAGGCCGTCAATCTTAATGTTATAGATTTGGCAAAAGAGCAATGCCTGGCGTTCTCCGTTTCGGAAAAAGAACTGAAATACCCGGCATGATGAGGTGAGTACAAAGTTTCGGAAGGTTGTAGTAACAGCTTCGTGAAGTAAATTGTTATAAGAAATTTGGAGAAAAAAAGAAGAGTACTGCTCAGTACTTTGGTAAGATGGCCTTGTTGAAGGCAGCTCCCTATTGAGTAGATCAGTTCCACTGGTGATTTTGCAAAGCCCCACAGATATGCCAAACTGTCCAGTAGCATTCACATGCTATATGTATGACCCGTGAGGACAATTTTGTCGTATGGCTGATAAACGCGAAGATAAGAGGCTCTGAGGACTTATTACAATTACTTGTACTCATAAGTAAACCCAGTCAGTCAAAAAACCTGTGCCAGAGCCGTTGAACATTTTGAGTCCTTCTCTCTGATTTCCATCTGTGTCGCCTTAGACGAAGTGACCTGAATCTACAAACCAAAGGTTCATTGAAAAATAGTGTGATCTGAGTTCTTTAGGTGAATAAACTATATCAAAGGGATCCGATCAAAACTCAAAGGGGCGCAGTTCCAAATAGAACTATTTGCTCTATAACCCAACCCTTATTTAAAGTTTATCGAGGTAGTCACTGATGGAGACTTACTGTTACTTGGTAGTACTGACTACTTCACAGGCCTACGGTGGGTGCCATCTCTGTCTGAATCTTAATTATCCGCAGAACTTCTATGTGTTGGCCTGTCGTACTGAATTAATGCAAATGTAACCTTAGCAGTTCTGAACAAAGTGTGGTCATAAGACTTCGCTACATTGTCTGACTTTCTAAGAAGAAAATTCACTCTAATTTATGGATGATATTCAGTCCCAAAGCCTTCGAAATGTTTGTCACTATAAAAACTCTGAGGATGAAATAATTCAAGTCGCAAGGGCCGAGAGTGACATGATAGCCCCTATTTCGGAGCTAAACTTAGAGCTGTGTTCACAGACGATTCTTCTGTAATTTATGGAATAATTTGGTACAGCAAGCCGGCATCTGTTAGTTTCACTATATGACCTTTCTCTGGATGCTTTTCGATATAACTCGTCGTAGATGTTATCATCAATTTACTTTTCTTTGTCTGGGTTTTGATCTGCGAGGTAGGCTAGGTCTCATGCAGGTCGTTCCATCTAGCGAGAGGCTCAGGAAGGCAAGTAGCCAATATGCAGTATAGTGAACTGGAAATTCTAATTACTGATTTACTATGGGACTCTTCTGGGCGGTCAGAAATGGCTTTGTATTCCGGAACGACTTGTGAAGTGTTGAGCTTCTCGCAGTTTGTCCTGATGCCTATTCTACTTCGCCATGAAAAGCTGGACTGCTGGCGATATTGTGTGGCTTCCCAGAGATTTTCAGAAAGTCAAACATCGCTTTTAGTAATCTCCTTCGAAAACTCTATTCAACATTCTCAGTAAGCGAATTTACTTCTGCTTTTTGCGATCCACTTGAATAGCCAAAACATTGGAAAGGGCTGAATGTTATTTCAAAGAGGTGACGCAAGTCATCGAGAAAATCACTGCGAAAAACAGCTTTCAATCTCTGCTTTGAGAACAAACTGAGTTATATTGTTAAGTGGGGAATGCAGTTAAAGGAACCAACGAGTATAATTCGAGTCACAAAAGTAACATTGGGAGCACTAGTACCCTACCTCTGGAAGCGCTCGGCTGAAACTCAGAGAACTCGCTTGAGAGGTTTTCAGTCCTAAGTTCTCTTTAAACAGCTCAAGGGTCCTGGTGCTCAAAGATTAGTACTCCAGTATTTCATGGAAGTTTAATGTAGAACACAGTCTCTCATTGAAGGGTAAGGCCCGTAAACCCTGCCGAAAATTGTCAAGTGAGGACCGATCTCTTAATTGTTCTCGAAAACTTAAAGACCGCTCTAAGTTTGAGTCCGATTTTGCGCTGCAGCCTTCGCTGGTTCATGTTGGTAGACCATCTATAAGAGCTGCTACTAAGTGAGAATGGTGTGCTGTGACAAGAAAAGCCATAACCATAACCATAACTATAACCGAACTTAAGTTGTACTGATAAATCAGCAGGGCTAACAGGCAAATTTTCGCACAGATATCCCTTTCCTCATTTTTTTCACTTCCTCTCAGGGAAGTTCAGGGCCAGCTAACAGAACGGGGTGACAGATAACAGAATAAGGAAACCTGGCAATCTACCACATTCATTTATTTATTTTCATTCTATAGAACTTGGCGTTTTCAGATTCGGCAAACGATCAACATACGATACAATTCCTCTGGAACTGCTCGACAAGAAAAATGTGCCAGGAGTTCTTCGTTTTGGCAAGTAGATCCGAAAATACAATCAGGTATGTTAATTACGAAGAAGATAACGAATTGTTTAGCTTCTTTAAATGCCAATCTTTTCAGGACCTATCGTAGTTCCGCAGGCGTGCGGTGAGCAAGATTCATTCCCCGAGATACCTATGTGTGATCTAAGAATAAATGTTGATACGTTAAATGAAAATGATTAGCTCTGTTGGCTTTACCATATTGATCATAATTACTTCCTCAATTGAATTGTTCAGCTATGATTAGTAAAACTGGAATTTGATATTACCTTACGACACGATCTTTAAAATTTCTGACCTACCGATAGAGTCAAGGATAGCCAGAAAAACAATAACTCAGTAAGAACTGTCAGAGAAACTTCCACCTTCACATAAACGCCGTGAATTCTCCAGGTTTTTAGGAAATTATGGTGAAAAAGAAAAAGTCAAAAATTTTTAAGGCCAGCAGTTTTGAATGTAGGCTAATAAGTAACTCGCTTAAAACCTGTAAACTTACTCAGATTTAGAGTGGGGCTAAAGCAGTAGTACTTTAGTCAAATAGTAGTTTAGTTAAGGTAACATCTTTGTTTCCAAATCAAAACCACCCAAAACTGGAGATATGTGTGACAGTAATTAGGTCTTCCATGTAGAGTATGATCTTTACAAGTACAACACTATCGTATCCCATCTTGAACAACATGCTGAACTGCTGCTAGGAGTCCATGCTAGGATACATCACACAATTTTAAGACATTGACAGCTCATTTGTCAGTACAGGATAGAGCATGTCAGTCTGTTTTAGAAAAGGCCGCAGCCTGCTCAACTCACTCTTACTGGTTTACATAAAATGAGTTTTGTTCATGACCTCTTTTCTACACTGGGCTTTGCCCTGTCCTACAAAAATGCTCAGAGCGCTAGAGCATTAGTTCTGGGCGGCAGCTTAAGCAAATAAAGCAACCCGCTTCGTTAATCCCCTAATTTGATCGAGTTTGTTTTGCTGAGAATCAACGAGGGTTCTGTAATGTTTCATGAGATCAAACGCAATTTGATCTATTTGGTCGATCACTCGTATATCGTTTGCCCGTGGTCTGCTGCTGTCCTTGTGACTACGAATTGGATTCTCGCAATGAGCCGTTTCTTTGAATTTCATTTTTTGTTCGTTCTCTCGTCCTCTATCTAGTACTTGTTAATGAACAATTGCTTGGATTTGTTAAGTAATTTTGTAGACGAGGGTATTTTCTTTGATTTCTTCAAAATTCTGTTTGCCACCTAACCGGTTTCTCCACCCAAAGAAGTCGTAAACTGTAAAAAACTACTACTGTGGTAGGATTGTACCAGTAAAGTAGTATTGTTTAGAATGTTTATTGAGCTCTACACAGTAGTCCTTCCTATACTATCCACAGTAAATGCTTTAAGTATATGCCCCAAACTGCACCGCGAGGGTCTTTGTGAGTCATCTTTCGAAATCACCGATAAGTTCAATTTCCTAAATTTATCTATTTTTCACCATAGTAGGGAAAAGTCTCGAGATGCCCTTAACTCATAGTACAGAGCACCAAAACTTGTTCTTCATTTACATTGTTATGAATTGAGTTTTTTCAATGTTTTTCAAGATGGTGTTAAGTCAGGCAATCTTTTGAAGTCATTGGATGTGGGCAGACCCCTTTTTTGGCAATTTGACATGTTGTCCTTTGGCGCTGGTACCCGAACTTCAGAATGTTTTTCCATCATGTTGCAATCAGTTCTGGGAAAAGCCGCCCCCGTCCAATTTTTTGCAAAATGACATATGAATGTCACAGCAATCCTGGCAAACCCACAAATCACACGCCTATAAGGAGATATTGCTGTTTGTGGGGACCTATATACCTGAAGAAGGGATAATGTTTTACTGGTCGAGTTTGGGGTT